TTAGTAATTATAATTCACGTGTTTAGTATCGATATTAAATATTTTTAAATTATCGTTTACAAAATTAGCAGTACTTTGATCTTATAAAAGAGTAAAAAGTCATATATTTGCTGTTTGTTATTTGTAAAATTATTTATTATTTTGTGATTAAAATGATTATAATATACGTAGAATAAAAGCAATTTCTCCGTATTGCAAGACTGTGTGGCATATTGAGATAGTGAACACGTGAAATCACCACCAAACCTAAATAAAATAGCTGCGAAACATATTGTTCCGAAGCATATATGTAATATTATACATTTATAATATTCATATTTTTAATTACAGAGACTACTTATGTTACTAATCCTTCAAGTAAGGAAAAAAGAGATGAGAAAACAACATTATCTTACTGTTTTTATTTTTTATGAAATATTTCATAACAATATGGCTTTATACCCTTTAATGTTAAGATATTAATCATTTTCAGTTAAGTAATATCGGTATCTTATAAAATAACATATTATGTTCAGAAGCATCCAATTATTACAAACCATCTCAAATTATGGAAACCCAATCAGGGACAAGTCGTTGTGTCCTTAAGAAAGACATTTTACACTCACTGCATGGTACTGGAACTGATTCGAAAATATGTCTATATTACTTTTAACTTCCTGCAATCGAACTAAAATACAATAACATAAACTAAATTATGACTATACGATGGTGTTTATTGTTGTTGTTGTTGTTGCCGATGTTGTTTGTTTGGTTTTTTTGGGGTTTTTTTTTAAGACTACCAAATGCAATTTCTTTAAAAGAGAAGGTCAAAATCATGTCCAAAAAGATTATCAAAGCCCTTGATTACCATGGTAACTGTAGGGGAAGGGCAACTTTTGCTTCTCTATCTGATAATGTCCTGTTGTGAGTTACTAAAAATAAATGAAAAATAACATATAAAACCTTGGTCTGTTTATTAGGCAAAACGATGGCATTGAATGACCTTAGGGACAATTACTATACAATATGACATATATAGATAAAAGACTTATTTTGAATACAAAGCCATATATACATTACATCCACTTATACATTTCTATTTTAGTTTCTCTTTAGAGCATCAAAACATCATTACATTACTTTCAAAAAACTGTGTTCCATGTTTATAAATAAAAATATGCTGTGATTGCAATATTGAATAATTAAACAGATACCGATTTAATATTAATTCAATTTAATCAAACAGCTAATAACTAACAGACAATAATTATGAAAGTGTAATGAATGTTTCTTTAAGTAATTGAATAATCTTCTGATCAATTATGACTTACAATTAAAGCATTCTCTATGATATTATGTTTTGTTAAAAAAGGAAAAAAAGGAAAAAAATAAACTAAACAGACATATTGTATGTACATGGCATATTTTTAGTAATTTCAAAATGATAAAAAAAACTTGAAGTCGGCAGTAGAAGTGTATCACCAAATATATCCTTTACAGTACTATTATTTAAATACATTTATAACCGTAATCAGTTCTCACAGAAAAATATTTTCCTAACTCTTTCAGACAGTGTCTGCATCTTATAAATATGACAAATAAATACAATCGCGTATTTAATCAACAATTTTGAAAAAATACAAAGTAAGGTCTGAAAATAGAGATTGCGTTCATAATTATATTTAATCTACCTTTTCTAATGAATAAACCTCTAAATATAGACACTAATATAAGGACTGTTGAAAGAAATTACTTTTGTATTTTGTTTATTTTCAAACACCGTTTCACGGTTTCTAGAGAATAATATATCGTTTCTCTAATATTCACATTTTTATTGAAATTTTATAATGTATACAAAATATTAGTTCTAGTTACAGTTTTAAAAAGTTATTGAGTAAACAACTTCTTTCACCGCTATGGACCCGTTGGGTAGGTATTTAATACAATATCGTACTTTGTTGTACAAAAAAACTTCCAGCTTTCCTTATATCAAAACATCTTCATTTGCAAAAATGCATTGGCAACAAAAGGATGTTTTACACCCATGAAGGTACGATTAGTGTCCATTAACACAGTACGCAAGTATGACGACCAGTATTGAAAATGATCTTTATGTGCCCATGTATTTGCATTATGTTGTCAGTGGACATCATGGTAAAAGCTGTTTGTTTACTTCGCGCATTTTTATAATTTTTGTGTCAGAAACAATCCTTCATACAGTGTGGATACAATTATTTTACCTAACGTCTGTTTTAATATAAAACAAGAAAATATTTTTTACATAAAAGATGGCGAGTTAATTGGACAGTTAACTATATAAGTAGTTTGAGTGGCGCTAAATACAACAAGAAAAATTAGATATTCAAGTAGGTTCAAAGGTAATTTAAAAGTTTTTTGTTGTGTAAAGAACACACAGTATTTAGCGAAAGTACAGCTACACTGCAAAAGACATTTTGAATAAAAGTCTTCATTGGTAACCGAAATCTCTCTAAGTACATGTATTTTCATTTTGTAGATGTTATATTACTCAAACTTTAATTTACTAAACGTCTTAGATTTACGATGCATATTAAGCTTTTGGAAGGCGCTAAATCAAATACAAAAAACTAGACATCCAAGTGGGCTAAACAGTAATTTAAAGAATTAATTTTATTTATTTCTATGTGAACATTTCGCCGTCTTAACGAAAGTTGAGATTATAGTACAAAATACATATTGATTACATTTAAATCTATTCTACCTACAGAAACCTATTACTACTGCTGGAGTCTTAAATGTGTTCTATATTTAACATTAGATAGGAAATCCGGTAACACCCAGTAGAATACTTAATTGAGAAAATAGTTTCTATATTTTTTATAATATGTTTTAATATTATCACAGTGCCTTCACTTATCAGAGTTATATCGATAATATAACAATATATACCTGATTAAACAATTTGAGATAAACACGAACGTAAAAAGTAACTAAAACACTTTCAGCGGTTTTATATACTTGCTATCATTTGTTCGGGATAATTTGTTTGAATTAAAATCGTTATTTACTTAAAAATCATATGTTTGAACAATTTACTCTTAACAAGTACAGTCATAAAAAACAACTATATTGAAATCAAATACAACTAGTTTCCAATTGTCTTTGACATACAAAACCTCCCAGGTCTCTTTCATATCGCTAACAAATAAAAATTATCACGTGACTGATACGTTATGTTTACGTACTGTATACGCAAGATAGCTGGCAAATTTGACATGGCATTTATTTTCAAAGATCAAGTACTGGCTTTTGCAATATAGGCCAGACAAACGCACAAATCCATACCAATCTGCGACGCTTTTGGTGCTCTTCGCCTACTTTTGATATTTCAAATTATTTGTCAGTTATTTTCTGTCGGAAGCTACACTTAGCTATCTCTGTAACCTAAATCAACAAAGGTGTATCAACAATTTCTATTCAAATTTATATCTGATGTAAAGATGCAATGTTCTTTACAATTTGAACTTAATCGGTTCATTGTTACGTATACACAGACGTCATCGTGTGAAAGAATTGTTTTGATTATTATTGAATAATTTTTCTACGATAAAGGATGTAAATAGGCGAGTACTGCCATTAAAGATGATAACAATTAGAAAGCACCAAAATGTGCATGCATGCTAATTACTTTATTGTCACTGACAAAGATTAAATGAATGAAGTAGTTTGCTCTGTCTTAACCACTAAATGTGTTTATCCGAAGTAAAATGTAATTGAACCTCACAAAGAGTGATTAACATGAAGTCTTATATTCAGTTTACGTCCTGATCTCGAGTAGTTAGTACATTTTTATAACCATTTATTTGTTTATCTTGTCAAAATACCAATTACCCTGTGGTTAGCTTCAATAATATAATTATTAATGAAATGATCTCTTTTTCCCAATGATTTTCGTGACGCGCATCTCAAACGTCTTTAAGGATTCAAATTACCAGATTCTTTTATTCAGAATTATATAAAAAAAATTGTAAATATATTTCACGTGTTAAGTATCGATATTATTTTTTAGAATTATTATTACATGTTGCATTTTAGTATCTGTAAGTTATGAAGATCCTGTTGTTAATGAGGGTAAAGATTATTTAATAGCACTGGTCTATGGTAAATCTGTATAATAGGGCAAAAATATATCGAGTGGGTGCAGGTTTCTTCAATTTATTCTATTTCTAGTGATAAATAGGAAACACGTTACCGCCCTTTGGGATACACATTCAGATCGTAATAATGCGAGTGAATTATCTTTATTATTTTAATTTGTTTGATACGGTTAAAAAACGATCATATCATATTAGTATTCCACTCCATACTACTTGAAGCAGATAGGTGGGAATCCTATAGCTAGTTACTTCATTGATTTTTTTCACCGTTATTAATTACGATAAAAGAGTTGATTTATTTACTATAAAGCTCTAATTTGTATAGTTTCTAATCAATGAGTTGTCTTTTTTTACTTAATTTATTGTATGTAAAAAAATAATGACAGTAAAATAAATGGAGCAATTCATTTATATGAAAGGCTAAATTTTCTGTTTCTATATTACACAAATTCATATTTATTCGTTTTGTGAAGTTGTCTCAACATCTGATGCTTAACGCATCTTTAAAATAGAGAAAAAGCCTTATTAAAGCATGTTCTATTGGAAACACTTGAGGCAAACAAATTAATTCCCAAAATACATAAAGTCCAACATTACAGTAACTCAAAATCTTATACTCAAATAATTAATTGCCGTTAATAATACAATCAATGTTAATAGACATACAATGTACAAGCAGAAAACTGTTATTTTTTACTATGAAAACATCATTTGAAATAAAGTCAAATCACATTTAAATATATTTAAATTGATTTTTGCTTAACAGGTTTTTTCCAAGTAAAAAATCAATTCCATACTAGAAATGCAATGTATCTGAGCAAAGTGTAAAGAACAAATTAAGGCCAAGGTCAAAGTCAATTAAAATATTCTTTAATTTCTTGTCCCAATGATTTTTGTGCACAAATAACGTCAATGGGAACGACATCCTAACATTTGCAATACTTCGAAAAAGTCGAGCTATAAATTATAATTTACAAAGATTTGAAAGTGTTTTACATCTAAAAAAAGAAATATTTTATTACTTAAACTTATTTACACAGCAGTGGCCTTATCAATAAGTAGGCATACTTTCCAAGAAATAAAGATGAAATGTTAATGAAACTATTTTGGACGTTGTTCACATTCTTTCTCCGTTATTTCAAGTAAATTATCCTTTAATAATATTAGTGTTTAAAGTCATTCATGGTCCAGGATTAATAGTTTTTCATTAATAGATTCAGATTCAACAATAACATTACTCAAATTTTCTCACAAATATAGTAATATGTGTATGAACACGGCAGCTTTGACCAGAGATAATCATCTGCTGCCCAAAGGGCGACGCAATGGTTTGTTTCTGGATTTAATAGTGACCCCGGTGACCAATATTGCCCAGCTGATGAAAGGGGCACGCCAGTAGATGTCACCCACTCTTCGGTGTTGTTGAAGTTAGTAGCGTTAGCATTGCTCCCGTCTATCCAGTAATCGCCACTATAGACAAAACCTAGAAAAATATCAATAATGATAACGATTATAATAATGAAGACATTTAAGAGATATATTTTTCTATTATACGAATACTTCCAGGATTTAAACAAAACAAGAGCATCGCAAAGACGGGGCAATATACCCCCGAATATAAATTTCTTTTAGTAATAAAATAAACTTTCAATAAGGGAACTTATGTAGGGATTTTAATAACGCTCGTAGCAATACAATAGAAGGCTTAAAAATTACCCAATCATGAAATTTGTCTGAAAAATGTTTTACCTTTATAACCTTATGAAACTATATGACTTCACTTTCAAGGCATGTGTGTGTGTGTGTATGGGGGCATTTTTACCCTAGGTGCATGATTCATTCAACTTTTTCTAGAGGTATACTGGGCAATTCTATATGCCAAATTTAGAGCCATAGTAATTATCCACAGAAAGATGTGTTTTCCTATACCTTACATAAAGCAAATGACGCCCGGGCCAACAAGTCTATGCTACATGTCAAAGCTACAAGCTCTAGACAAAAAAAGACTTAAATGTGCTGTCCTATACAAAACACTATTAACTATGTGACCCCCTAGGCGGGTTAAGGCATGATTAATACCAGGAATTATATTGAGATCCACAATGTGGTATTACACATCAAATGTCTAAGCTGTGGGCATTGCAGTTTCACACAATAAACTCAGATGTGTTATTCCTTAATAAGTTTATATCTATATAAATCAAGTGACCCCCCTTGGGCGGGCCCAATATTGAACCAAGGGACATCAGTTTGGTAAAGGTCAATAAGGCAAGGCTACATGCTAAATATCTAAGCTCTAGACATTGTATAAGCTAGCAACAATACGAAATGGCGATAACAATAGAGGTTGTGTTATCGCTATCAACAACGCAACGCGCAATGTATCAAATCAGCCACCATACACATACGACCGCATCGGTTAGACAAATGTGCCCCGAGACAAATGTGCTCATGTACAGCTTCCTTCTCTGTTTACGTTCCTAAGCACTTACAATATTTCAACCCGAAGCAGTGAAAGGCTTTTTAAAATTAGTGGCCGCTATCACTCGTACAAAGAGGCCCGTAAATATGAATGAATGCAATACAACATTTACCAACACATGAGGTGAATATATGGATCAATAATTTCATTTTTGTTGACGTCAGGACCCGAACCAGCACGGCATTCTCGGCAGCACATGCCGCAGCAGCAGTGGGCTTATCAGCAAGTTGCCATACTATCCTGGAATTAAAGATGAAATGTTTATTAGAATACTTCGAACGCTGGTAACCTTCTCGATTATTTAATATACGATTCGCTTATTGTTGATCCGCTGTTAATGAAAGAGCCTATTTCTACAGTCGCGTTTAAGAGTGCCTTACTGTACTCGGATATATTTGAACTTCGGTGAACCCCTGCACCCGACAATTCTTAACATATGTACACACGTGGCAAAAGACAAATAAATACCATACACATGAAAGAACAGTTCATATGGAGTCTCCGTGTGAAAAAAACATTAGCCTTGTATATGCTAATATTTTATTAAAACTGTTTTCTTTCATTATAATCGATATTGTAACTCTTTTGAATAACAAAATATCAAATATAGCTCTGAAAAGTATGTCTATAGAACGCAACAGTCAAAATAATTTGTCTTCAATACAAATAGATAAAAACCTGACATGGTTCTAACTAAAACAAATAGTTGACCTTATACCTTGTTAATTTCCACAGAATAATAAAACCTGACACCGTTAGGCTCCCACGTTTACACATTTTTTTAACGTTTACACAATTGTAAAAAAACGAAATGATTAGTGCTAGCAATATCACGTGACATTGACGTCATTTTCGGCATCATTTCCAAGACAAATATTGCTCGATTCGAAAAAGAAAATAGCCGTTAGTATTTTATTGCTTTTCCAATTTCTTTTGGACATGCACCAGTCAAGGGGGGGATATATAAGCTTGTCACAGAATATTGGATCTTCTTCAGAAAATAAGCCGTTTTATCAAACGCTTTGTATATCCTTGGAAGTTGTTTGTATAGGAGCGGACTTCAGTTGCAAGCTATTTCGTTTTCTTGCATTATCTGATCTTCACCTTAATTAAAAAAGTCAAGTTTACATCAACCGGGAGTACGGACGGCAAAATCCTACCTTAAAATGTTTAAATTGTTTTTTCAATTCCGTAAATCTTATCCTTTTCTTCGATTGTCAATTCTGGCACTAGTTCCAAGTCGAAAAATTCGGACTACAGTTTAAAACAGATTTATGAATTGATTGCAAATGCGAAGCAACATACGTGCTCTCTATAATTATGTTAAACATGAAAAAAACATTTTTATTTACTATACGATGCACATATCTATTCAAAAACGCATGCACAAATGAGTTTGGCACCTGCACTCTAAGTGATTTTTAAATTGCTGTATGTATTTGTAAAGAATTGTTTTTGCTCTTTTATTATTTTCTTTCACAGTAATGATTGTGAAACAATCTGTTGTGTCATGAAGCAAAATAACAATCGTGGACTTCAAAATAGAGAGAAAAACAGAATCCCTAAATAACTCCCAAAACGGCAAAATTGAAAATGTTGCAGGGTCTGTTTAACTGAGCCTATTCATGGACGGTACTGAAAAATGCAAGCTACCATCAGTGCCATATGGACCACAATCCTAGTTCGTGCCGGTGTTGATATTACCGATGTTAATCGTTTTAAAAACTCATCGATAATCATTTTGCTTTCCGCCTTTTTTGTATGTTTTGTTGTGATTGATGGCTATGGTTTTGTAAAATCATTATAAGACGCCGCGTGCACGTGGCGTGTAGTAGATATGCATTTGTCTATACAGCAATTGGGAAATTTTTTTGACTTGATTTTGTGGGTTTTTCTTTGTTTTGTTTTTTTAACAAAATCACACTGTTTTCAAATTTTCTAATAAAAATAGCTTTTCTGATGTACAACATGTCACAGAGCTTTAACCCTTTCGCTGCCAGAGGGTTATTGTTTTATTGTTCACCTATTTGCCAGAGGATTTTCTAAGAAATTACGATATTATTAATTAATATAATTATTATTATTTGTTATAAGTATTATAATAATTATGTATGTTTCCAAATCTGTTAGTATAATAATAATTATTGTCGATGGTATAATTTTCTTTATATTTATTATTATCTTTATTATTATTATTATTAATATATTATTATTACTATTATTATTATAGAAACGGCTAAAGCCGTCTATATGGCAAATACGCCGAAAATAACAGGGACGGCTTAAGCCGTCCCTATGGCAGTGAAAGGGTTAAGGGATTAGAATAAACGTTTAACTGAAGTGATAGTGCCATGTTTGAATATCATATTCTTTTTATCATTATCTAATTTTATCTACATAATAAATAAAGTGCCAATGAGCCAGTCTATAGTCGATCGTTCTAAAACTTAACCTTTGAGAGAGGTAACGACTGAGGCAGTGTCACTCACTTCATTTTCTCCGCCTCTGTGAAAGTTCGCCAAAGTTTAATATGATGCTCCGTATGCTAGCATTTTGTCTTCGTTGACGGGGCGGAAGGGAACCAGGACAACTTTGATCAATATCACTTGTCGAATCATTAAATAACAAGATACAAAGCCTAAACCCCGCCCACTTTCAGAGAGGCGGTTATTCCTCAACCGTTAAGAAAGTACGCCCAACTCTGCGCACCGGTTAAATAGACATATTCTCGGAACATATTGTCTTGAATTTATTTTAAAGTGACATTATGCTCATATTTTCATAGTCAAGTTGAGCTGAATTGACTTTTAATTTCAAAAGATTGCCTGTTAAAATGGTGTTTGACCAACAGTTTATTTTGGAAAATGTTTAAGGTAAAATGTAAAATCTGCCTAAAATATAAAAAGACTGCCCCACTCTCTTTATAAACTAAACGTTTCAGGTTAGTTCTAATTGATATTTACAGAAATTCCGTTTCTTTTAGGGAGTTATATATTGTTTATATGAAGTAAATAATTAAATTAAAAGGAATTATGGCTATATAAAACTTATTTTGACTGTCACCTGTTCACTCACTGTATACCCTTGAATGAGCATAATGTCACTTTAAGTATACCAATCATTTCAATTTTACTTGTTATCCAATTAATTTTGCTTCGAACAGACGTTTCAATCTCTGTCGCAACAGTTCAGAATTTCAGACATGGCTTTACTTTGTGAATTTATGTATTAGGTTCTACTTTTTCACAAAATTATGCACTTTAATTATTAAGCAACGAGCACATACCAAGAACATGGAGAAAAAAATGATTTTTGCTTCGGATATTAAACTGTAATAGAGAACGATTTTCAATGCTGAGTGACTGTTCACATCATTTGGCGGCAGCATCAACATTTAACTTGTTCTCTACCTTTTAAAAAGTCTCACTTTGAAAAAAGAGGAACCTATTTGTCATGATTACTGGAGTGTACGTAGCTTTACTTGGATATAGAAAAGCAACTTAAAGCAATTTTCATCAACCAGTGTCAGTGTTTGTCAGTAACTCTTTGCATACAAGAGACTAAAAGTATTACTTTTAGCTTTACAACTGTCGCCTATCCGCAGCCTCTTAGCAATTTCTGTCACTAAGAGAACATATTTCTTTTATCATTTTCAGCCATTTTGAAATAGAATAAAACACATTTTACTAAATAGGGTAAAAAGACACTTAAAACAGCTTCAAAACGTTACCAAAAATATTAATTTTTACACAGGACTAAATGTACGTGATTTGACTGCACAATTGCGATACTGGTTAACTAGGTGTGAAAGATCAATTATGAAAAGCGTAATAATAGAAAGAGAACGGAAGGCATGTTGCTCCGCATTTGCCACCAATTTATAAATCTGCTTTAAACTGTTGTCCGAATTTTTCGACTTGGAACTGGTGCCAAAACTGACAATTGAAGGAAAAGGTGATATTTACGCAATCAATAATAATTAAAACATATTTAGGTTAAATTTTGTCTTCCGTACTCCATGTTGATGTAAACTTGACTTTTTAATCACGTAGACGTAGATCAGATAATAAAAGATTTTGAAATTGCTTGCAACTGAAGCCCCCCGCTCTTATACAATCAACTTCCAAGGTTATACAAAGTGTTTGATAAAATGGCTCATATACTGAAGGAGATCCAATATTCTGTGGCAAGCTTATACACCCCCTCTTTACGGAAAGAGTTTTTAAAAAAGCTTTCAAGCTTACTACTCAATCCGTACTATTTATTATTTGTCAAATATCATGTAAATGTAATACTTATAAATAAAATATTGTTTAAACTAACCCCCCCCCCCCCCGACTGGTGCATATGGTTTAGAAATAAAATAAGGCTATTTTCTTTTTGTTTTGGAAATGATGCCGAAGGTCACGTGATATTGCTACACTGTAAAAGGCGGTACTGCTACCTGCTACACTATGTATATGTAAGTGTTCATCCGTTCTGTTCTACAGAAATTAGAAACTTCGAAGTGAGCGATAGCGACAGGAGAATGCTTCTAATTTCTGTAGAACAGCTACGGAAGAATACTTACATACTAAGTGTCAAAAATCTGGAAACAAAGTGATCCCTCGGAAGCATTAATCACAACAAAATTAATCAAAATTGCAGACTCGGTTTGATTGAGTCTGTACATGAGGGATAATGAACAAGTGCAACATTCCTCACGTCTCCTAGCACCGGCTTGAGCGGTACTCAATTCTCAACACTTAATAGTGCTGGCATCAATGATCCCGAAGGACCAGAAAAATATAACAACACTGAAGTGAAGTACACGGCAACTTTTTATAGCTGCCACACGTAACTTGGCACCTGACACTTGACATCAAGCTTTATTTGGCACATTGTTATTCACTTTATTACGTCACTACGCGGTTCTATGAAGTACTGTGAAAAATAGAAGGCGACTATGAACGGAATTCGATATAGGATCGACTTTTGTTCTATGAAAATTAACACACACAATTTTTAAGAAATACAGCGTTTTACGGAAGCGTCCTGATGCCAATTTAACATGTTCTATAAAAATTGAATTATAAGTCCTACGTAAGACTTTGTAACTCCTACGTAGAAGATAAAAAGCCTAATTAGGAGTTTGTAAATCCTACGTAGGACTTTGTTATTCCTGCGTAAGAGATAAAAAAAGCCTAATTAGGAGTTTATAACTCCTACGTAGGACTTTTAAACTCCTACGTAGGACTTTGTAAGTCCTATGTAGTACTTTGTAAGTCCTACGTAGGAGATAAAAAAGCCTAATAAGGAGTTTATAACTCCTACGTAGGACTTTTAAACTCCTACGGATGACTTTAAAACTCCTAATTAGGTTTTTCTATCTCCTACGTAGGAGTTATAGTTATAAACTCCAAATTAGGCTTTTCTAACTCCTCCGTATGAGTTATAAAGTCCTACGTAGGAGTTTGTAAGTCCTACGTAGGACTTTAAAACTCCTAATTAGGCTTTTTTATCTCCTACGTAGGAGTTACAAAGTCCTACGTATGAGTTACAAAGTCTTACGGAGGAGTTATCTTTCTTTATAGAACATGTTAAATTGGCACCAGGACGCTTCCGTAGAAACGTGAAAGCGTTTAAGCGAGCCGGTAAAATTTTTGTTTCGTTTAAGAATTACACATACTTTTCACCGCAAGGGGCCGTATATACAAGTTATTATTGCAATGGTTTTCTGGCCTTTAGAATGATGTTTTATCCAATCTAATGAACATTTACGACACAAACGTTACTACGTTAATCGTAAAGATAAAAATGAAAAACATATATCTACATGTATTTTGTTATCATTTCGGTTAGAATAATTGTAAACGTAACATTATGGATTATAATCGAAACTAATACGTTTAAATATATAAACATGGGGCCTTAGGTCACCGTCACTGTTAAATTGGTCTGACCCCAAAAGAGTTTTAAAAGTCACCTGTATGTAAATATCGTTTCATCTGACAGCATCACTGTGTGGTATTCTGCACCAGGGGGTGCTAATGTACACGTGAAATTTGACGGATCTGAAAAAACAAGGTAAATATCATGTTGAATTTTATAATCAGGCTTTGGGTCACTTGATCGCAGGTCAAGGTCACATTTTAAGTCATTATGCGAATCACTGATTCGTATATAAGAAATTACGTCATGTTTAAGTTATTCTAAATTATCGGTAAGTACGTTTTTGCAAATATTGAACAGAATGTTTTGCTTGCTCGCCAGCATTCGTACTATGATGATTTCACATTATTTCCAAATGTTTTGCCAGGACAACATTCGGCGTTTTCTATACATTATTTTTCTACCTTTTGCTGAATAACATCATAATGATTACTGAATGAACTACGGAATGCCGTTAGGGCCATCGCCTATGAATGTGTTGATCTAAAACGCGATAGTCGATAGTACGATGGTGAAAACGCGAAATCACGAAACTACGATGGTGAAAACGCGAAAGCACGATAATGAAAACGCGATAGTACGATGATGAAAACGCGACAGTACGATACTACGATGATGAAAACGCGATAAACTATCGTGTTTTCACCATCGTACTGTCGCGTTTTCACCATCGTAGTTTCGTGATTTCGCGTTTTCATCATCGTACTGTCGAGTATCGCGTTTCAGATCAAACTATTCATAGGCGATGGCCCTAACGGCATTCCGGAATGCCTTTAGGGCCATCGCCTATGAATGTGTTAATCTGAAACCCGTTAGTCGATAGTACGATGGTGAAAACACGAAATCACGAAACTACGATGGTGAAATAGCGATAGTACGATGATGAAAACGCGATAGTACGATGATGAAAACGCGATAGTGCGATGATGAAAACACGACAGTACGATGGTGAAAACGCGATAGTACGATGATGAAAACACGACAGTACGATGATGAAAACGCGATAGTACGATGGTGAAAACGCGATAGTACGATGATGAAAACACGACGGTACGATGATGAAAACGCGAAATCACGAAACTACGATGGTGAAAACGCGACAGTACGATGGTGAAAACACGATAGTTTATCGCGTTTTCATCATCGTAGTGTCGTACTGTCGCGTTTTCATCATCGTACTTTCGCGTTTTCATCATCGTGCTTTCGCGTTTTCACCATCGTAGTTTCGTGATTTCGCGTTTTCACCATCGTACTATCGACTATCGCGTTTCAGATCAACACATTTATAGGCAATGGCCCTAACGGCATTCCGTAATGAACTATCACGTAGTTGCAACTTCATGTGTTATTTGCTGGACCATCTAACTGGCATATTTTAATATGCTGTATGTTTAATTGCATCTTTCTTTAAGGACAGTGTATTATGTTCGGTGTTTTGAAAAACATTCTTTACTTCTTGTTGACAAAACATTCTGATTTATAAACTTTCTGTTAAAATTTTAAGTTGTTAAATTTCAATTGCTTAAGTAGTTTTCTTAAAATCTAAATTGACTATATTTAATAATAAAATTGCTAAATATAACTAAACCGTCATTCGTTATCTAAAAACGATGTACACGAGAGTAAAAAAATGAATTGGAGCAAAAAGTTTGAATACGAATAAATTTATATACTACTCAACTTTTGCTAAGCACCATATGTTAATTTTTATATTATCACGAGCAAAAAACAGATTTCTTTCAAATTTTTGAAAATTCTGATTCAGACTTTTATTTTTAAATAATCCCCTGACATGAATCCGTGTTGACTAATCCATTACAATACGTCTTTGTAGCATGGAAAGACAATATTTTCATGTTTTTGATTGGGTGTACAAATGTTAACATTATCAAACATATAAATAATTGTTAACAATTGTTTATCACTATCAAAAGTAACACATTACGTTATATAAAAAATATAACAAAAAATCAGATGACCATTAATATAAGAATGTACACGCATCCATGAAAATACTGTTATGACTCGTGTAAACTTTGGTTGAAGAGTTATTGACTCGAGTCATTAAGAACCTTCTAAAGCTAAATTCTTGGTTACTGTTTGTTTTTGGTCTAGGTCGTAAAGGGGAGATATTGCCCATATATGAAACAGCACAATACATCAACACTGTAGTACAGTTTGTTACACTAACCCCACCGAGAGTCCTGCATAACTATTTGCTATCACAACTATGAATTTACCGCATCCGTGGTCGAGAGGTTAGAGTCGATGACTTCTAATCCAGTTACCTCTCTGGCATGGGTTCGATCCCCGGGAGATGCTTTGGTAGTTTAGCACGGAGGAAGGTAGTCTAGTACTGGTGTAACTCTCCAGGAACGATGGTTAGGAAACTACCCCCCTATATGACTGAAATACTGTTGGAAAAAGGCGTAAAATGAAACAAACAACTATGAATTTGCACAAGTAATATCTGTCATCATTAAATAAATAAACAGGCACTGCTTACATTTCTTCAAGAAATGATTTTTGCAAGCAAAAGCAGATTTACCTCGGTCAAGTATTTTCTAAACGACAATACTGTGATACTGAAATAAAGCATAGAAACTTGGAAACTACATGTACACTCAATGATACTTAATATACATTACCTATGTACATCTTGTAATAATAAGTTTTGTAGACATAGATCAATGACGGTTCGTAGTTCTCATACACAATGTCGTGAAGTTGACATATTTTATCATTTTTGTTGTAAAAGAACGACAAACATCCTTGTGTCTTGTTGCATATACTGGTACACTCGGTAACACCACGTGCGTACAACTCACTAATCGCACCGGAAGTACTCCTATAATAGTTCAACGACGTTACTTTAACAGCAAAATCGTGTAAAATTTCCGCTGTCGACTTTTCTAAAATATATAAAAAGGAATATACCAAACAAACATAAGTTATTGTTCATCATTTCAGTTCACTCTAGTTTTACTCTAGGATTTTAACAAAATCTGTATTTAAGCCTTACCCTTCTCGAACCGAAAGTGGTCAATCTGTCAAATTCTCAATCGTAATTGGTCGAAGAATTTCACAGGAACAACAAGCTAAATGTTGATGCTGCACATCAAAGACGCCGTCAAATGATGTGAACAGTCACAAGTAATTTACCGTAATAAAGATTGACAAAACAGTGGAGTGTGGGGGCACCCGTGTCCTATGGACACACTTTAATAGAGGACAATCTAGAGCTGTAAAACAACACGCTCGAATATTCTCAGTATAATTTGGAATTAACAAAAATATTTTATCAAGAACAATATAGGCATAGACAAAGGTATCAGTCTTAGTTCGCAAATGGCCATATTTCATTACACATTCATGCCAAGTGTTATGGAGCTTCAATTATGATCCCAAAGCAATGTATTAAGTTTCATGAGGATACCTTCAGTTGTTTTGAATATTGACGTTTCATGCAAAATCTTAACCAATATTTTTCTGAATTCACAAGACTATCATTCAGTCAAAATCCATGCAAGAGTTGTTTGCTTTTGAGAGTGACCTCCAATTATGATCCCGTAGACGTGTTTTAAGATTCAAGTGAATGCCTTCAATAATTTTAAAGATTATTGACGAAAGCAAATATTCAACTAAGAATTTTTTAATTCACAAACGGTCATAATTCAGTCAAAATCTATATCATGGTCATTGGCCTTGGAAAGTGCCCTTCAGTTGAGGTCACAAAGAAATGTCTTAAGACTAAAGTCAATGCCTATTTATTGTTGCATGCAAAAAGTTAACCAAGAATTTTAGTACGGGTTGGCCCCTCTATTCGAATAGTCGAGTCATTTCGATTACACTGCCACTCAGTCATGCGATTCTTACAAAACCTAGCGGTCACGTCGCTTCTGTTGTATAGGCTTACTTGCTCGAGATTGAATATCTACTTCAAATAAATGAAACGCCAGCTTTGTTTCTTTTCAGAAAAATAAAATCTTAAGCTAATTTGGTGAATAAGTCTTGGCGTTATGGAGTTCGCACTTGGATGGGCGGCATCACTAAATACGAGTTTATATACCGTGTTATGTCTTTCTTTTGAGAAATAAGAATTTGAATCAAGAAATATTCTGCAGTTCAGATCATTTGGGAAAGGTAGGGGTTGTAGAGGGGTAACATCATGGCGTCGAACACAGGACAGAGGTCAAATATTCTCTCATTGAAAGTTCTTCATATGCAGAAGAAGCATTTCATGAGGTAAAAGCTTAAAGAAAGAACCAATTTAGCCTATGAATACAATATTATAGATAGATAAATACAATATGACTATATCAATGGTAGTCTTACACATGCGTTGTAACACGCGATCTGATTCGACGAGCGGATTCAATGTTTGGTGCCTGGCGTCTATCGTTCAATCAGATCGCGTGTTACAACGCATGTGTCAGACTCCAAGATGGCTGCGACAAATAAAAAATACCGTGAAACAGGAACTAATCGATTGATTACTGAGATATTCGTGGTTAACTGTGGAATTCTAGTTCTTTTTACTGATGTAAATGAATTATGCAGCGATATGCCGCCGGAATCGGAATGCGACTGCGTCGCCGAAAAGACGATATCCTGTGTTCTACATTGTTTGTCAAATGAACATAAAGAAGCCTTTTCACCTTTCTATCACTATAGTTTTGAAAGTGGATTTTTTAATCGGCGGTTCAAACACTGATACTGCCACCTGTGTTTAAAGCTACTTTTAACGCTGTTGACTGAATTAGTCACAGGTTTTCTTATTATAAATATCTTACGGTATACACATTTTTAATATCTTAATAATGCTAATACCGCCCATGAATGGATGTATATGAAAGAAAGAAATTCATGAGCAGGAAATTTTACACAGATATGTCACATGAAAAATCGGTACGCCGCAGCCAGAACTCGAACCATGGGTCTCTAGATTGCCGCGGGGCTGGGCTCATTTGACAAATGTTGAAAGATGTCCACTAGACAATGTTTCCTACGAAATATCTAAGCCTTAGCCAGTGTAGATTTGAAGATTTTCTAATTTTTTACTTATACTCGTAAAAGATAAGGGAAAACACACGACCCTCTAGACCTTATTGTTCAAGAAAGCAGAATATGTTTTAAATATCTTCCTATTATTACTTTTGGTTGCCAGGACTACTAGATTTCTGAATGGAATCAATTTCTGTGAACAACTTTGAATGCCCATCATCCAATGTACAATCCTGGCAAGTTTGGTTGAAATCGGACATTTGATTTTTGATAAAGTTTTTAAAAAAAATCACAATATAACATGCGCACACAAACGTAAGCGCTTCTGATACATGTCTAGGTACGTTTGAAAGATAGACAGAAAGAAAGAAAGAAAGAAAGAAAGAAAGAAAGAAAGAAAGAAAGAAAGAAAGAAAGAGAAAGAAAGAAAGAAAGAAAGATGAACTAAATAAATAAATTGAAAAAAACTGATATAAATATATAGATTTTCATACCTTTCATCAGAACAAGCGATGTAATAAATACAACAAAATTAATCATTCGAAATAAATTTGCCATTGTGGTACCCTCTATATATTTGTCTAGTTATCCACTATTTTACTTTCATGCGTTTAACACTTTGTAAAACTCTACAAGCCTCTAACAGAAGTCGGTGAATTTTTTCTATATATACCCAAGTCGATATGTAACAATGTACGGCATGTTTGAAGTAATCGTTTAAAATAGGCCAAGTCTCCTCAAATATATTGAAATACTTCTGTCGCATGTTACTTTGTTCCTGTACCTATTTCAATAGTATTTCTATAGATATGAATATTTTTATTAACAAAAAGCTAAAGCAAATCAAGAAATAAAAACAATATGAAATTATGACAAAAATATTTCTCAAATAAAACGATTCGATTATTTTAAATATTATTGTAACTATGATATTCTTTTGAAAATATTTGATTAATCAAAAAGAAATTGACTACGACAACAATAACAAACACCAATATCTGACTGGCTAGCTGGCTGACATTTTACCTTGAACAAATGGATGTAATTTGTACCCATATAATATAAGTTCTACTATACCTACAAATGACAATTTATGCCAATAAAGTATAATTTGTGGTCATACATTAAGGAACATTTCTTAATGTGTTTTCTACCCCCAAAGCGTTTTTCTACACCAAAGTGTATTTTCTACTCACAGTGTGATTTCTACACTCACAAAGCGCGTTTTCTTTTTAAGACATAAATGCACTTAATACATTTGCACAATGATATTAAACGCTATTTTGAATGAAAGATATTACATAAAGTAAAACACTTTGTTCAATTTGAATGGCCACAATACGAATGTAACAGTATGACTTTTCCTCAATATAAAATCATTAAAATAAAAAAAACTTTCACACAGAGGCAAACAACTACAACTACAATTTATATAATTAATTCAAATAACCATATTGTCAAAGTAAATACGCAGTGAAAGAATAGGCATGCAGTTTTTTGGCATGTAAAGAATTGTCAAAAAATATATTGTCAAAAAATATAACAGCACACTATTATATTATTTACTATTTACTTACAAAGAGAATATTGGTCTTTGACTTATTCACTTCTAAATGACAACGTGACATTTGTAAAATTCTAAGCGAGAACTAGGTTAATGTTTCTTTAAACGATCAATCATTCATTTACCGCTTTTTGGGTCGTTTTGTTTATAATTCCATTCCCGCCCCTTGTTAAAGTGAAAATTTCAAGGGGTTATTTCAGTATATTTCATAAAATTAGCCGCGTCACGACAAAACCAACATAATGGGTTTGCGACCAGCATGGATCCAGACCAGCCTGCGCATCCGCGCAGACTGATCAGGATCCATGCTGTTCGCTATCAGTTTCTGTATTTGTTATAGAGTTTGTAATGCGCCCTCAAACCCTCAGCGACAAAAGAGAAGGACTATGGCTTATATCACATAAGTTAATCATGTCTTCAGAAGATTGCAACATTGAAGAAATTCAGCGGTACATGATGTAAATAATGTGCATTTTACCACCGGACTTGCCTTTGCGTTTTGCATATTCGTGGGGCAGGACTTGAAGTGGTTGCACACTTGGTTAAGCGAGCTAAACGGTAGTAAACTTGACAAAATGCTACCGATTCATGAAAATTATACCACCCGCGTGTATTTCATTCAGGCAAGTGGGTTTGTATGTCATTTTTAATATGCTCATTCTTTAAGGCAATGACACACTCGGTTTTAGGTTTCAGTAGCATAGGTGATCGGCGCGTTGATTGGTCACTACCCCCCCCCCCCTCACCCACTCTTCAACCCTCCTACCTCTCAAAACCATGTAAACTGAAGTATTTTTCATTTGAAACATGTTTAAATATTTAGTAAGTCGACATAGATTTTTTGTATTGCGTATATAAATATGATACAAGAAAAGCATCAAAGGGCGTCCAAGCAAGAAATGCAGCAAATGCAGATGAACTAGTAGACATCTGATGACCAGATATTTTTATAAACTTTTCAATGATTAATTGGTTTTTACCAGAATTGTATATCATTTATGAATTGGTAGACAAAAGACATTGTTCATCATGAACTTTGGTAGGCATGCTAGAGATTAAAATATTGAATGTTTTTTCCACAGGAACTTTAAATTCTATCAATATTCACGATAATATTAAAATATACAGGTCTATTATATCTAAAATATACCCTCCTATATGGTATAAATTTATTTATATTATAAAGAGGGTATTTTTGGATATTATCATTTATATTGGTTATTTGTTAGAATTCCAAGTTCATGTGGTATTTTCTTTGGAACATAAAAAATAGTAGTCAAAATGAACAAAGTCTGTTTATTGATTTATTGGGAGGTTAATCTACTATTTTAATGAATTACTTCAAAAACCTCGTCTGACCAACCTGAGTGTTTACATTCCTTTAACCCACTTCATATACACGCCTTTTAACGCCTTTTTCACCCCCCCCCCCTTTCTGTTGTCTCAAATGATGAAAAAATGCCTTATTTAGGCCGCAAACACTTGTTTTTGTGTGAGAAATGTTGTTTAAAAAAGTGACCTCTTTTTCGGCGCGGCCCCCCAACCAAAAGATACACCAGGAGGTTGCCAGAAGGGGGATTTGCCCCCTTCTGTTTGGGGGGTTTGAAGGGGGGCGGAGTCCCCCTCATCGCCAAGAAAATTTTGGACTTGTGAGAGGCTGTAAATGACCCCAGATTGATCATAAGGTAACATGTAACCAACGCTGAAAAGCATTTGACTCTATCTCAATCCATTGAGAAGTTGCAGCACTTTGAAATCAATTTTGATGGAAAAAATCAACGCAAAATAGTGATTTTTGGCAATTTTGAGATGTCCCCTCGTTGCCATGGTAACATAAAATTTAAGCCTGAGCATGTTGTTGCAAGGGCAATGGTCCAGTCAACATTTGTGCCAAGTTTGATAAGTGTTGAAGCAGTTTTTATAGTAATATAGCAATTTGAACTTGTAACGGGAGACTTTTCAATGAAAACAGCCATTTTTCACAAAATGCTCATGAAGTAATGGGTTAATGAAAAAAATAAAAAAATCTACAAAACAACAATTTTTCATCAAATTTATACAACAGGCAATGTTTAAACATGAAAAAACGCGATTTAGGGTAATTTCAAGTATTTTCATCATTTTCTGTTAATTAACCCATTACTTCATATACACGCCTTTTAACGCCTTTTTCACCCCCCCCCCCCTTCTGTTGTCTCAAATGATGAAAAAATGCCTTATTTAGGCCGCAAACACTTGTTTTTGTTTGAGAAATGTTGTTAAAAAAAGTGACCTCTTTTTCGGCGCGACCCCCCAACCAAAAGATACACCAGGGGGTTGCCAGAAGGGGGATGTTCGCCAAGAAAATTTTGGACTTGTGAGAGGCTGTAAATGACCCCAGATTGATCATAAGGTAACATGTAACCAACGCTGAAAACCATTTGACTCTATCTCAATCCATTGAGAAGTTGCAGCACTTTGAAATCAATTTTGATGGAAAAAATCAACGCAAAATAGTGATTTTTGGCAATTTTGAGATGTCCCCTCGTTGCCATGGTAACATAAAATTTAAGCCTGAGCATGTTGTTGCAAGGGCAATGGTCCAGTCAACATTTGTGCCAAGTTTGATTAGTGTTGAAGCAGTTTTTATAGTATTATAGCAATTTGAACTTGTAACGGGAGACTTTTCAATGAAAACAGCCATTTTTCACAAAATGCTCATGAAGTAATGGGTTAACAACCCATAACAACTCATGTTAAAATTGCAGACGAAAGTTTCTGATGTTAAAATGTCACAATATTCGGCAAATGAATATTCCACTCATACTATTGTTTGATTTTATTAACCTGTCAATTCCATACTGATTATACGGTCAATGCACAGAATATATTAATATTCGATAAATGTTCGGTAAATTCCGTGAGATGTGCGCAGTAAGATGTGATTAAATTCATCTTGTTTATTTTGAATTAGTTACACTGACCGTTATAGTGTGCAATAGGGTAAACCACTGGTATATTTTATCTGAATGTTCAACGTGTTGTAGGATCGAGACAGAAGTATGTCCAGTATTTTTTTTCATAACTATTTTCTACATGTTTTTTAAGATATGGTTGTTCCATTTTTAATATGTTTTTGCACCATTTTGTAAAACACTATACATTTGTATATAACAAGAATTAATACTGAAAATTCATTCCGATTAAAATCATTAAATGTAATTATACATATTAAAATGTGACAATTCAGTGTTTTCTTAGTTGGTTCATATCCGTGTAGACAAATTGCCAAGCGCTTGACCATTTTCATTAAAATATACTTAAAAATAAAAGAAAGAATAAGTCTAAAAAAACAATTATCAAAAAAAAAGGGATCGAAACCCTCGGACCCCCTCATGCATTAGGTAATCACTTAACCGACTGTGCTATTGCGGATGTTACAAGAACCTACATTAATCTAGTGAGAGTTTTCCAAACGTAAGTGATACACTCCATATTAATTCTCGTAAAATAAACGGAAAAAACCGAAGTGGGATCGAATATGTAAATGAGTGCTATAATGTATTCATAATTGACAGGTCAATAAAATCAGACTATACCTTTCACAGTTACCTAGAGACTTTAACAGCGAATAGGTTTTATAGTATACTACTGCTAGACCTGTTAACCAAACTAAAAGCGAGAACTAGGTCTATTTAAATATTCACGGTGCAATCACACCCTTGATGAACAAGTTTGTAACGTGATGTACAAATGCAAACGCCGAATTATTATTTTGGCACACACGGATCCGATTTCAGGTAATCATTTGCAGATATCTTTTATTCAACTGCGAGCACAAAAATAAGACATAGACCGTATGACGCGGCGTAAATTAAGCTTTTATTTTATGTGAGTAGTCATTCCCTGCGGGCCGGAGCCCGCAGGGTATTGGTACGCGTTTAATTTTTGATGCATGGAGGAGCACGTGACCTGTTTTCGGTACATGGAGGAGCATGTGATCTATTAACCGTACATGATTGGTTAATTGACCTTTTCGAAAACCTAGCTAAATACCGTTAGCCGGTACGTTTACGGATTTACCTCGAGTTACATCTGATTAAAACATA